AAAGTATTTTATGACGTCAGCGATTGGGTGGATGCTGTCAAATCAACGAGGAGAGGGTTAGCGGTCCGCGAATGGCGCGACCTTTATTTTTTGTATCGTGGTTCATGGTAGACAATTGTTATCTCTCGCCTAGAGTTAGTTTTCTATCTCGAATTGTTGTCAACGCTTGTTGTATGTAGTTATGTACATACATACATATGTGTATAAGAGCCACGATGTAGGAAATAAAGCTGGCGCCATCCGCGGACCGCTAACCTTTCGTCGACTTTACAGCATTCACCTATTGCCGTCATAAAATACTAGGAAAGAAAATTAATTCTTAAATTGTACTTATTTGCCGAAAAAATTATACCCGAAAGTAGATAAATGTACCTAAAACTTAAATATGTATTTTTATGTGTATACATTTTTGATAGTGGGTGGCGACCTTTCTCTTTGGTCCCATGTCTACATTTGGACTCACATCAAACAATCTTTGTTATTAAACATTTCCTTGAAAAGAATTTCTCCGAACAGTTCAAAAACTAAATAGGTATTCACCAAGTTGTGAAAGGGGGGTCGCAATCTGACAAAAGAGCAGATTAACTCAAGCAACGACTGCTGTCAGAGTTCCAGCTGATGCATTCTCCGTTTTTACGTCCATGGGTAACTGCGCTTTAAGGGCCAATTTCAAATGAATATTTAAACGGCACTTAAGTTTAATTGTGGAAACTTCCCACAATAGTTGCGTTCCCTAACTCGCAAGAGTTTGCAGGAATTTATCAGAAAGTGTTCCCGTACTCGATTCTCTGGTAAAGTAGGGGAAAAATGGGAGAGCAAAATCAGTCCTCTCTTTGTTAGAAGTTGCAAGATTTATTCCGAAGACTTATTTCTGGTAGCATCTGGTAAAGTGTGAAACCATCAGGTGTTCAAACGAATTGAAAGTTGATTAAGCAAAAACAAAAGTACATATGCATTTTCACTTTATAAAATATATCGTAGCGGAGAAATATCAAGTATGGTAAGTACTTTTGTTTTGTAATGAGCTGCGACGCCAATGCCCATCACTGTGTATGGGGTAGCTCGGACACCAATTCTAGAGGTGAGTCATTTCTTGAATTTATCACTAAAAACAATTTATTTATTCTTAACCGGGGTAATGAACCGACCTTTGTCAATGCTATAAGAGGGGAGGTTCTAGACTTGACAATTTCCTTAACTAGCTTGTCGACCTTTATCTCAAACTGGCATGTCTCAAATGAGGTACCTATGTCGGACCACCGGCATATTGGATTCGATATAGAAGCCCAAAGACTGACAAACCATGTTTACAGAAATCCCAGAAAAACAAACTGGGAACTCTTTCGCCTCCACATAGAGCGGGAAGTGAATGGTTCTACGGCACCAACTTCATCCGTCTATGAACTTGAGGACGAGGCGAGAAAGTTCCAAGATGCCCTCAAACAAGGTTTTGAAGAGAGCTGCCCAGTGAGAACCAAGAAGTCTCAAAGGAATATCCCTTGGTGGAACGATTCTCTCGGAAAACTTAGGAAAAGAGCCAGGAAACTTTTCAATAGGGCAAAGTCAACAGGTGACTGGACCGCCTACAAGTCAGCCCTAACCGCTTACAACTGTGAGCTCAGAAGGTCTGTCTAAAAGGGCTACGTGGCGTGAGCATTGCGGAAGTATTTCCTCTCTTCCAGAGGTGCATCGCCTTCAGAAGGCCCTTAAACTAGATTATCTGAAAGTCCTATGCACTTTGAAAAAAGCAGATGGTACCTACACTGGCACCCCGGAAGAAACCAGCAGGCTTCTGTTAGAAACCCACTTGCCTGGATGTATTCCCCAAGGCACATGTCTTTCAACAAACACGGCGAACGCTGTGTGCGCAAATAGAAAGACAAGAGGCCTAGAAGAAGAATCGTCAGTGTGGAAAAGATATCGTGGGCCATTTCAACCTTTAGTGCATATAAATCCCCTGGTCCAGATGGCATCTACCCATGCCTGCTGCAGCAGAGCTTGGGCTTAATATCTGGGCCACTAGTTAGATTGCTGAGAGCAAGTCTCTTCCTTGCGCACATACCAACAACATGGAGTGAAGCCAAAGTGGTCTTTATACCCAAAGTGGGGAAAAACTAAGCACAACTCCCAAAGGCGTACAGGCCAATTAGCCTCAGTTCCTTTCTAGTAAAGACATTAGAAACACTTATTGACCAGGCAGGCAAATCTACTATTACTACAATACGGTATAAACAGATAGCTTTGTGTGCATTCCTGGACATATCAGGTGCTTTCGACAATACGTCTTATGAAGCAATATCGACAGCTATGATACGAAAGGATATTCCTGTCCTTCTAACGGATTGGATCATAAGCATGTTGAGGTCCAGAACCATAATAGCGGAACTAGGAGACGACAGGCAAGCAGTAAATGCCACCCGTGGCTGTCCTCAAGGGGGAGTCTTATCGCCCCTACTTTGGACACTGGTTGTTGACGAACTTCTTGAAAAGCTAAATGGCAATGGATTCAAGGCATATGGATATGCAGATGACCTAGTCATCTACGTTGTCGGCTGGCATGAGGACACAATTTGTTCCAGATTGCAAGCTGCGCTCAGTTTAAAGGAAGACTGGTGTGCTTCAAAAGGATTGTCAATAAACCCGCAGAAGTCCACCGTTGTCCCATTTACCAAAAGAAGGAAAGTTAACTTGACTAAACCCACCTTGGCGGGGACAGAAATTGAGTTCTCAGAAGAGGAGAAGTATCTAGGGGTAACTCTGGACAAAAGGCTCAATTGGAACTCACATCTCCTTAACATTACCAACAAGGCTAGAAGGGCGTTTTATGCCTGCCAGAGACTTCATGGTAAAACTTGGGGAATATCACCCAAACTAACGTATTGGTCTTTCAATACGGTCGTGAAACCTGTTGTCACATATGCGGCACTGGCCTGGTGGCCAAAAGCAAAGAAAGCAAGTGCGTGTGCCACCTTGAGCAAGCTACACCGCTTGATCTGTGTGGCCATCACAGGAGCTATGCGCACCTGTCCAACGGATGCCCTCGGTATAATTACAGGCATTCCTCCTCTATCTATTCTGATAGAAAAGGAGGCCTGCTGGAGCTCCATACGGCTGCCCAATGTAATCAGCATGAAGAGTGGAGATCTTTGGGGTCACTTGGAGGTTCTCAAGCCTTTTCTGGATGATCCCTATATCAAGCTCACAGATATCATGCTACCAAAATTATCCTTTGATAAGCCCTACATGGTCAGAATTCCTGAACGGGACTGCTGTAAAGCGATAATATCTATGATTGACAAAGGGTCCCAAGTATGGTATACCGATGGATCAAAGATGGAAGACGGGAGTACTGGGGCAGGCGTGCTTGGACCAAGGTTCCAGAAAAGTCTGCCAATGGGCTTATACTCAACCATATTCAAGGCGGAGATCTTCGCAATCGAAGTCTGTGTTCGAGAATGTCTTCGGAGAAGGACAAACGGGGCCAGAATAAATATTATGTCGGATAGCCAGGCAGCACTAAGGGCCTTAGACTCATTTAAAACGACATCAAGGCTTGTGGACAGTTGTAAAACTCTTCTGAATAGCCTAGGAGCCCATAATAGAGTTACGCTGTGGTGGGTCCCTGGGCATGAAGGGTTTAAAGGCAACGAAAGGGCTGACTATCTCACAAAACGTGGGGCCCAAACGCGAATGCATGGTCCCGAGCCTTTCTGTGGTACATCTATAGGATACACTGCAGAACTACTTAGGAGTTGGGAGGAATCTCAGATTGCTGCCCACTGGCGTAAGTCAAAGGGAATGAGACAATCAAAGAAATTCATAACTCCTTCCAAGAGGAACTCAGAAAGACTCCGTGAACTCAGCCGGGAGGGTCTTAGGACTATTACAGGCTACCTGACAGGACACTGCAAGTTAAGGTACCATCTAAACAAAATGGGGCTTTCTGTAGAGACGGACTGCAGGTTCTGTGGNATGTGGGCTGGCGGAGGAAACCTTAGAGCACATTCTGTGTGACTGCCCGCGTATCATGAATAGCAGACTGATGCACCTTGGGGAACGATTGTCTTCTCCATCCAAGATTTGGAACACGGCACCCTCCAATGTGCTTAATTTCTTGAATAGCCTAAGGTTGGAGTGACCACAATCAGGGTTTAGCACAATAGATCTTTTAGGTCGCAGCGCGAGTATACCCGACGTACTAATAATAATAATAATAATAATCACCATAATTTGACGCGGGTTCGTTTCTTCGTAGACCAAGTCCACAAAACAAACTATGCCTTCAATGAACCAATTATAAGATGAATTCGATTCTGCAACAATTATACTTACATAGATTTTTGTTTTAATTTATATAACTTTAAGTAAAAATTCAACAATTTTTATTGACCTTGAAGCAAAAATTGTTTTCCATATTTAATTGAATATTCTAAATATGTTCTGTATATAGTCTGTAAGATTCATCTGTAGACTGATTAAATAAGAAATTTAGCAGATCACGAAATGATAAAAAACTGGTACGTAAACAAAATTTGGCGTCCACAGTGTATTTGACAGTTTAACCTGTTTTTACCCAAAAAGCGTTCCCGTACTTCTTGGTTTTTCTCTCTTTCTCTGAGAGCAATTTTGCTCTCTGAGAGCAATTTTGCTTTTTGAGTTTTATCCAGACAAGTTGACGAACGAAACTAATATCTATGAAATTTGCAATTCTTTATTTTCTACGTTTTTTTTGTAAATAGAAACTTAGACTATGCGCCCTGTCTTTTAATGGAATTATTCAAATCAAAGACACAGATTCCAATGATATCAACTAAATATTAATAGCTACTATACATTACACTACTTTTAAGGAAATGTAGTTATGTACAATTTCGTACATATAATTTCTATAAATTTTTCTATTGCTTAGTTATAAAGTAAGTTTCAGGTACATCAACTAATTATTTTTACACATTCTACACGCTATAAAATACTTCGCTACATGTTTATCACAGGGATTATTAACGTAAAACCGATTCAATCCAGCTCACATACTTGCTAACGCGTGTGTATATCCCCGGAAGCCCTGGTCTGGCACATCCGATACCTGTAGAAACAATGCCCACCAATATTTGATCTTTCATAATAAGGGGTCCTCCAGAGTCAGCCTATTGTAGTTTGTGATGTATTATAAGAAAATAGAATTACATATGGACGTGAGTATGTATATGGAACTTTAGATGTAGCACTTACCCAACATGAATCGGCTCCTCCATTTTTGAGTCCAGCGCATAGCTGGGTATCTGAGATCAAACTATTTGATTTCCCATGCAGTTTGTAAGACTTTTCACAACTATTGTTGTTCCAGATTTTTACTGCCACTTTTTTTAGAACATCCGCTTTCGGGCCTTCTTCTTGATTCTCATTTGTCCATCCCCAACCTGATACGGTTGCTAATTGATTTTCGTACTCTTTGTGAGGACTTTCAACACTTACGCAAATTGGTTTAACTCGCTCTGTAAACACCATAGGAGTATCCAGTTGGAGCAAAGCTAAAATTACGAGAGTCATTAATGATTCCATGAAGCAAAAAAAAAGCATACCAATATCGTTTTTCACATTGGTGCATTCATACTTCGGATGCGGTATTATACTTTTAAAGTTAATTCGAATAGGTGCTGATTTTTCTGCAGTGTTACCACTAAGGTATTGCGAAATACTGTGAAGGCCAATAACCCCTTGAATTTGCGATATTTGAAAGATTTTGTTCAGTCCATTGCAAACACAATGCCCTGCTGTCACAAGCCATTGCTCATTCAATATGCTGGCACCACAAAAATGTCCCCCGCGTCTTGTCAGGCTAACCATAAATGGTAATTCACCGTTTGCAGCTTCAGAACCTCCTATAATCTTCGGACTTCGATGGTTACAAGGTACTGAAGAAACTTATCGAAAAGAAAATGGAAAGGAACAAAATTTAAATTATTTACTATGAGATAGTTAAACAATCTGAAATTCTTAAGATAACGTACAATCTACGTAGAAACTTGAAAGTCTTATAATAAATAATGAGCACACATTTTTGATTAATTGAAATAAAAAGGGATCAAAACTGGCCAAAATTCAAAATCTTACCGGATTGGCTTTAAACTTGTCACTTGGGGGTTTTTGGTGTCGCTGAATACGAATCTGGAGTCAGATTGGAAAAATTCAAAATGGCGGATCCAATATGGCGGTCGATATTTTGAAAATCGATCGGATTACCTTCAACCTCGTTACCCAGGGTTTTTTGTGGTCGCTGATTGCGAAGACAAACTCAGAATTTAAAAATTTTAAATGGCGGATCCAATATGGCGGGCAATTTTTTGAATTTCTTGGGTGTTTTTGAGGTCACAAACTGCAAACTTAGTATCAGATTCTATAAATTCAAAACGGCCGATTTAATACCTACCACTTCCAAAAAAATTTACTACATCAGTGAATCCTTTTAAATTCGCTTCTTAGAGGTTCCTGAGACGGAAGATTAGGAAACGGACGTTACATTTTAAGAATTCTAAATGGCCTACTCAGTACGAAGGCTGAATATTAAAAAAAAAAACATTGAATCTCAACAGCGATCACTACTCAAAGACGTTAGACCTTAGTGTTAAGTCTATATCGTAGCTGTTAGTAAAAAGCAGGGCTGCAAACAACTCCAAAAATCGGTGCGGTTCGGTACAGTGATTCAAATCGCTAAGAAAACGCTTATATCGGTACAAGAACCGGCTCATAGTTATCCCTGAACCGCGGTTCGGTTCGGTTCAAATGGTTAAACTTTTTAATGCTAAAGGATACAAATATTGTAAAAAATGCCAAATCTATAAAATAAAAATAAAGGGCTTTGTTCTGAGATCAAATTCAAATATCCACTAGTGTTGCCAAATATCCCGTATTTGCCGGGACATCCCGTATTTTGCATTAAACTTAAAATCTTCCGACGGGACAAGATTTTTCCCGAATTTTCGACAACTTCATTATTGATTTCAACCTGTAAATTTCTACCCAACATCGTCATGCTTTAACGCGGCTATTGGGAGTAGGTCATTAGCAAGCATTATTGCATGCAACTCTGTAAGGGAAATATAGCTAAAAATTACCGTTGATTTTTTAGAATTTTTTTTTGTGGAGGGTGTTGCGAATTTTCTTCCATATAAAGCATGAACAAAACTTGAAGAAAATGCGCAAAAACAAAAGAAATTTAAAAAAAGCAATGGTAATTTTTAGTGACTTGAAACTGGAACTTTATTATACCAAAATGAGCTGCACACTCCAAATCCTTCTAGGAAATCTAATTAAAAAAATTTAAACTTTTTTAACTTTAATTAGTTTTTGTGAACTTTCTGCAAGCTTTGAAATTTTAATTTACGTGGTATCTGATGTAGATCGCTAAATACTCTGGTCCAAAGTACTCAGGTACCTTGGGGATGCAAAATACTTTCACTAAAGTACCAAGGTATTTAGTCGATGGCTAAATACTTTCAAACTAAATACTGTATAATTTAGGAGAAATTTTGAGAATTAACACCTCACCTCAACTTACTTTACCACAACTCACTTCACCTCTCCTCAAATCAACTCACCACACCTCCTACTGGTACACCAAAATCCGCCAAATCTTAACTCACCACAGTTGAAGTCATCACACCCGTTCTCACCACACCTCACCTAAACTCACCACACCTCAATTTGGGGACTGTTTCTGGATTTGAGAGATTCGTCAGACTAAATCAGGATTTTCAAGACTATTTCGGGGTTTTCGGGACTATTTTGGGATTTTTGAAGCTATTTCGTAATTCTTTAGGGGTTCCTGGAAACTTTGTTTGAGATTTTCGGGATTCTCGGAACTAATATCGGGACTTTCGAATCGACTTTCAAAATATAAAGGGACTTTCGAGATTCTCGGAGTTAATAGCGGGACTTTCGGGAATATTTCGGAATTCTCGGGATTTTTGGGACTCGTGGACTATTTTTGGATTTTTAGGACTAATTTCTAGTTTTTGGCACTTTCGGGACTATTTCCAGATTTTTGGGACTTATTTCGAATTTATGCGGTTTTCGGAATTCTCGGGAATAATTTCGGGACTATTGGGACTTTCGGGACTATTTAGGGATTTTTGGGGCTCTCGGGATTATTGGGAGTAATTTAGGTAATTTTGGGACTTTCGAGACTATTTTCAAATTTTTGGGACCTATTTCGGATTTTTGGAACTTTCGGGACTATTTCGGGATTCTCGGAACTAATTTCGGAATTGTTGAGACTTTCGGGGCCATTTAAGGGTTTTTGGGACTCTCGGGAACATTTCGGGATTATCAGGTGTAATTCAGGTATTTTTGGGACTTCCGAGACTATTTCCAGATTTTTGCGACTTATTTTGGATTTTTTTGAACTTTGGGGTCTATTTCGGGTTTGTCGGGAGTAATTTCGGGATTTTTGGGGGTTTCGGGAGTATTTCGAAATTTTTGGAACTTTCGGGACTATTTCGGGCTTATAATGACTAATTTCGGGACTTTCGGGACTATTTTGAGAGTCTCGGATCTAATTTGGGGAATTTCGGGATTCTCGGGACTTTCGAGACTACCACAGGATTNGTATCTAGCAGCTCCTAAATACTCAAGTTCTTCTTACTTTAATATCTAATAGTTCCTAATTACCTAAATACTTTTTACTTCAGTATTTAGCACCACCTAAATACCTAAGTATTGTTTACTTGGGTATTTAGCAGCTCCTAAATACCTAAGTAAATAGTACTTGGGTATTTAGCAGCTCCTAAATACCTAAGTAAATAGTACTTGGGTATTTACCAGCTCCTAAATACCTAAGTAAATAGTACTTGGGTATTTAGCNGCTTATAATGACTAATTTCGGGACTTTCGGGACTATTTTGAGAGTCTCGGATCTAATTTGGGGAATTTCGGGATTCTCGGGACTTTCGAGACTACCACAGGATTTTTGGGACTCCCGGGACTCTCTTTGTTTTTGGGCCTAATTTTAGTGTTTTGGGATATTTGAGGTCGTTTAGGGATTTTTGGGACCAATTTCGGATTTTTGGGACTTTCGGGACTATTTTTAGATTTTTGAGATTTTCGGTACCATTTGGGAATTCGGGACTAATTTAGGAACTTTAAGACTTTCGAAACTATTTCAGAAAGTCCCGAAATTCTCGAAACTAGTCCCAGGAATCCCGGAAGTCCCAAAAGCTCCAAAGTAGTCTCGAAAATCTCAAATTAATCCCGGCAGTCCCAAAAATCCGAAATTTGTCCCAAAAATTCCTAAATAATCCCGAAAGTCCTGAAATCAGTTCCGAGAATCCCGAAATAAGCCCAAAAGTTCCAAAAATTCCAAAATACTCCCGAAATTCCCAAAAATCCCGAAATTACTCCCGACAATCCCGAAATAGACCCGAAAGTTCCAAACATCCAAAATAAGTCCCAAAAACCCGGAAGTCTCGAAAGTCCCAAAAATACCTAAATTACTCCCGATAATCCCGAAATAGTAACGAGAGTCCCTAAAATTCCTAAATAGCATCGAAAGTACCAACAGTCCCGAAATTATTTCCGAGAATCCCGAAATAGTCCCGAACGTTGTAAAAATCCGAAATATGTCCCAAAATTCCCTAAATAGTTCTCCAAGTCCCGAAATTCCTAAATTTTCCCCAAAAATGGAGAAATAGTCCCGAAAGTCCCAANAATATTAAGTGCTCATATTTAATCAATTTTAAGTACTTTGTGTGTAATTTTTCTCTACGTGACAAATTTGGTATATAAAAGTAAACAGACAGTATTTAATTTTGCACACATTAGGAGAGGAAACTGGTTAACTCTCTTTATGTGCGTAAATTTATACAAACATTTTTTAGAGGAAACTTTAAACATTTTATGTGTAAACTGTGAAATNTGAAAGTCCCAAAACTACCTAAATTATTCCCGATATTCCCGAAATAGTCCCGGGAGTTCCCAAAATCCGTAATTAGTCCCAAAGATCCCTATATAGCCTCGAAAGTCCCAACAGTCCCAAAAATATTCCCGAGAAGCCCGAAAACTCCATAAATCCGAAACAATCCCCAAAAATCTGGAAATAGTCCCCAAAGGCCGATATAAGTCCCAAAAATCGAAAAATAGTCCCGGAGTCCCAAAAATTTCGAAATTACTCCCGAGAATTGCAAAATGCTACCGAAAGTCCCAGAAGTCCCGAAAATCCCGATATTAGTTCCGAGAATCCCGAGAGTCCCGAAACAGTCCCGAAAGTCCCAAAAACTTGAAATTAGTCCTAAAAATCCAAAAATAGGCCAGGAGTCCTAAACATCCCGAGAATCTAGAAATTCTCCCGAAAATTCCGCTATTAATTCCGAGAATCCCGAAAGTCCCAAAAATCCCGAAACTAGTTCCAAAAATCGCTAAATATTGTGAAAGTCGTCTCAAAAATCCTGATATTACTTCCGAGAATCCCGCAAATCTCAAACCCTAAATTCCTAAAGAATTACGTAACAGCTTCGAAAATCCCAAAATAGTCCCGAAACCTCCGAAATAGTCTTGAAAATCCTGATTTAGTCTGAAGAATCTCTCAAATCCCGCAACAGTTCTCAAATTAAGTTGTGGTGAGTTTAGGTGAGGTGTGGTGAGAACGGGTGTGATGAGTTCTACTATGTGAGTTAAGATTTGGTGGATTTTGGTGTAGCAGTAGAAGGTGTGGTGAGTTTAGGTGAGGTGTGGTGAGTTTGTATGTGGTGAGTTGATTTGAGGACAGGTGAAGTGAGTTGTGGTAAAGTAAGTTCAGGTGAGTGTAAGGTGGGATGTTAATTCTCTAAATTTCTCCTAAATTATACAGTATTTAGTTTGAAAGTATTTACCCATCGACTAAATACCTTGGTACTTTAGTGAAAGTATTTTGCATCCCCAAGGTACATGA